TTTTTTTTTTTTTTTTTTTTTCAGGGAGAAATTGTACTGTAACTGGATTTCTTAGTGATACAAATGCCTTTTCTTTCACATATGAGTCTATTCAAAAAGTTTACTACATCCTGCATTTCGACACCCTTTATGATCATTATTAATAAAGACAGCAAATAAAACACTTGACTATTACAATTATACAAATAACTATTTGTCCTCACCATTCTAAGCTTACGGTAGTCCATAAGGTCTGGTCGGAAAATACGTTTAGAAATGAACATGCTATTCAATTATTGCGAGTGTAAAATATTGGGAGTGTTTTGAACTCCAGATGTCCCAAAGTAATTATTTTTGGGTCCGTTGATATCACATTACTTGCCAATATGCCATGATTAGAAGACTAAGACTGAGCTCTTTTTCCCGTCAATGAGGTGAGTTGTCCAGCCAATAGGAGCAGTCAAATTGACGCCTACTCTCTTGTGACCCTAACCGTTAGCATCACAGGAAAGCTAGGAAAGCGCGAGTGAGTACAGAACACATGTCAAATCAGTCCCGCCAAAACGCCAAGGTCAAATCAACCTTATTACCGGGTAACAGGAATGGAAGTCCGCTAGGAACCGTAGTCCGCTTCCCATTGCTTTTTACAGGTGACATTCGTCCCATATACTAACCCCAATACTCCAACTAACCCTAACCTGTACTAATTATATGGAAGCCCTGTCTTCCACTCCTAGGACTTCCATTCCTGTTACACCGGCAATATAGTATAAAGTATAAATTGTTCCGAAGGGACAAAGATTTCTGCTTTTTACTGACGATATACGAAATTTTGGCACATTTAGTGTGGTTAACGGCCTTCAATATTTATTATTTATTAATTCTTTTATACAAATTCTTTAAACAGAAATAACTATGGCGAAAATAATGGAAATGATTTGAAACGATATCAAGGGACACCTTATAGACTACAACCAACTTGGTCGTACACTGTAGACCTTTCATCCGACTGACTCGAGTAAATGTTATCACTCCATACGGAAGATACGAGAGGCAATCCACATCAGCCGTCAACATGCAGCCACCCATGAATAGGGGACGGGGTGTCGATCTACGTGATAGATACAATACGAGTCGCCGAGCTGTACGTGAAATATTACGAGTGTATTGGCGAGCCGCAGGCGAGACAATACACGAGTAATTTTCACGTACAGCTCGGCGACGAGTGTTGTATCTGGCTTAAACCACGGCCTCTGATTGGCTACTACACTAGTAATGCAACAGACCGTGGAACGCACTCGTACATAACGTGCTTGTATGTCGAATATAGCACGGTCGAGTCTTTTGTTCTACGCACTAGCCGTGGTTTAAATGACATTACAATAGGGTTCTAGCCACTATACGACCAAACAGCCAGGGAGTAACAACATTTACTCAAGTCAGTCTGATGAAGGCCTACTACCTCAAGCTTACGTATGGTGAGGAAAACTTTTCCGGCTTGTGCCCAGTAGTTATAATTCGCATTCAAATACCAAGCTAATGGACATTTTTGCTTAATGCAATTATTTCTAAAATGTTAGGCATAGGGATAGAGAATATATGGGTATGGTTTCATCTTGGCGTTATTACCTCCTCCAAGGAAGTATGTTTTCACCCCTGTTTGTTTGTCTGTCTGTCATCAACATAACTCAAAAAGTTATGGACCGATTTTGATGAAATTTTCAAGAACTGTCAGAAAGGGGGCCAAGGAAAAGGTGATTAGTTATTGGTGGTGATCCGGATCAATAATCAATAATAATGAAAAAAAAATTGCTGCCTTGGCGGAGGTCTGCGCTCTCGGATTGCTTTCTAGTATTTGTTCTGGGAAAGGAAGGGGGAGAGAAGAGGGGGTAGGGGGTACCTCCAACGCCAGAGAGGGTAGAGCGGAGAAAACACATGCTTGTCTTGGAGACATGATTTGTTAGTCTTGAAAACTTCCAGCACGTCTATAAGGCTACATAAAGACAGAAAAAAAACTTATATGGACACGTCGTCTTTAGATCGTGAAGAAACATTTTTTGATTTCGTATCCAACATCTACGACAAGCAGTTACATGTTATATGCATAATTAGCTCAGTTCCAACTCTGAATTTGTATTGAAAGACTGTGCGTGTTGTGTTAACCGAGTCATAAAGGACACTATACTTTTCTGTCCCCAACAACATAATGAAGAATTTTGGAGTAAATCGTTTCAAATCATATGGAATTCATACCCACTGTTCAATGTTCATTATAATAATAATAATAATAATAATAGTTATTATCATTGTTATTATTCTTATTATAATTTTTATGTTTATTTAAATTCTTGAGTCTTTACAATATGAAGAATATATTATACACGTAAATGATAAGGAAATGGTTGATTAAACAAATTGATGTAAATTATGAAAAATTTAAAATCCGTTACTTCATCAAGTCCATAGAAAATCATTTAGAAATTCCAGGGTCATAATACGTAAGTTATAAAATTTTCTAAAAAAAAAAAGATAACGACTTTGTGGATCATAATTCTGTGAACAGTTTTCAGTATGGAATACATATGTGATGAAGGGAGAAATAATTAAGTATTTAAATTTCCTGGAAAATTTTAAATTTTAATAAATGTGTGACTTGCAGGTTGTGGGTGATCAAGTTCAAGTCCAAGGTCAAGAATAAGCTGAAGTCCAATGCACGGTTTGCAGGCAAGCCCCAGAAAGACAGAATATCCCTTCAAATGCAGGACCGCGGCGTTCCAAATTATGAGGAAACCAAAGGGATTCATGGTCTTAGTCTCAGTGACTGCGTTTTTTATCTTCCTATCTCTGAATTTAAACATGGACACATGGCATCACAAGAAATGGCTTGCATTGAAGAACTTTTCGGATTTTATAATCGCCTTAGGCGAGTGGTTTTAGAATACATTTATTTTCAGTAATTCAACTCTTTCTCTGCCCAAACGGCCAATAGTGTTAAGATCTTCTGGCCAGGTTTTTTCAACTGTGAACCGCTTTTATAAACCTGCGGCGCTTTAAATTGTTCACTTTTTCAAAATTTTGAGTTCACCGTTTCTTATATTTAAAAAAAGTCAACTTGCACACCTTATTGAATTAAAGCTTTTTGGCCGCAAGTGAGTTAGACAACCCATTAGTTAAACTCTATTTTATTAATTAAAATTAAAGTTTAATCAGAATTGAACAGACATACACGTCCTTTAACAGAAGAGAAGCAAACAAGTTCTATGGAACTGTCATTAATCGTTAAGATATACATATTTTAGAAAGAAGAAGAATGATGAATCTGGCTCCGCCATCATGGGGAGGGTACGAGTTCAACTTCTCAAAGAAGATCTATACATTGAAAGACTGTTCAGATTTTATAAACGGTTTAGGTGAGAGTTTACAATACATTTTTTTTTCTAAATCCATATCTTTCTCTGTCCCAACGGCCAAGAGATCTTCTAGCCAGATTTTGTCAACTGTGACCCGTATTTTATTGCCTGTCTGAACTAAACTGTTTATTTTTTTCATTTTAAGTAAAACTGTTTGTATTATTCAGAAAAGTCCATTTTAAATGTACCACCTTCGTGAATTGAAACTTTTTTATTAAAATGAGTTGAATAACCCATAAGTTATGTTTTAATAATCAAAATTTATGTCGAAATTAACAGCCTTGCATCTACAACAGCAGATTTCTTCTCGTTATTTAAGAAGCAAACCAGTTCTAAAAAACTTTAATAAATCGTTAATATATACATATTTTAGAAAGAAGAAGGATGATAAATCTGGTACCGCCAACGTGGGGAGAACTCGAGGTCAAATTCTTAAAAACCGGTATAAAACTCGGAGGTCAGTGGAAGCCGGAAAACTGCACAGCTCAAACGCACGTGGCCATCATTATACCCTTCCGTGACCGCGACGCACACTTAAGAATCTTCCTGAACAACATGCACCCATTTTTACAAAAGCAAAAACTGGACTACCGAATCTATATAGTTGAACAGGTAGGCCTGCTCGAGAAGAGTGGACGAATCTCTCTCTCTCTCTCTCTCTCTCTCTCTCTCTCTCTCTGTCTTTTTACCTCCGCCAACGAGGTTATGTTTTCACCCCTGTTTGTTTGTTTGTCTGTCTGTCTGTCTGTCTGTCTGTCATCAACATAACTCAAAAAGTTATGGACAGATTTTGATGAAATTTTAGGGAACTGTGAGAAGTAGGCCAAGGAACAGGTGATTAGTTTTTGGTGGTGATCCGGATCAATAATCAATCAATAATCAATAATCAAAAAAAAAAAAAATAAATAAATCATTATAGAATGAAAATTTAAGGGTGAAACGGCATTGGGTGGAGACTTTGCTACCTTGGCGGATGTCTGCGCTCTCCGAGTGCTTTTCTAGTTTCTTATAAAACTGGCTTTTGATAATTGGTCATAGGCGGCGGGAAATAATTCGCCTCTCTACGATGTGTATATATGCTTTTACACTTTAAGTGCTAACCTATTGATTCCGTAATCTATACAACTCATTTACGAAGAGTCGCGCATATCTTTTATTCCCATACATAATTTTACTTTTGCTTGTAGAAAGCTACTACTATATTCAACCGAGGTCTCCTAATGAACATCGGATTTGTTGAGTCAGCTAAAATAGACAAAGACTCGTACGACTGTTTCGCCCTTCACGACGTCGACTTGTTACCGGAAAACGAGTGGAATTTCTACAACTGCGCAGAAAAAGTGAAACACATGTCAGCCAACGTTGATAAGTTCAAAGAAGGGTAAATATGTGTGAGTTCTTGTGCTTGTGTTTGTTTTTGTATGTACATGTATCTGCGTTAGAATTACATTAACGCCCGTGCGCGCGCGCGCTTGTGTGTGTGTGTGTGTGTGTGTGTGTGTGTGTGTGTGAGAGAGAGGGTAGATGTATTGGCGACAGAAATGCATAACGTGTTCTCGCTAATTAATCTGTATTTTCCAGTTGTACCTTAGGGTGAGTTTCGCGGGTTACATATAATTTGCTTGCTTTTACAATGATTCCATTTTGCAACCGCAACACAATTTGGCTCTACACCCTTTACTTATTACTTAGATCAAACTTTGCAATTCATGCTCGACGTGTGAACTCCACCGATTTTAGCAGCAGCATTTATCATTGCTGCGAGCAACATTATCTAATTTAAAACTGAGCGCCAATTTTATTTCAGACTTCTCTACCCGACAATTATAGGAGGAGTGACCATGCTCACTAAATCACAATATCGCCAGGTGAACGGCTTTCCAAACACGTACTTTGGGTGGGGAGGCGAGGACGATGACCTTTATATAAGGTATATATATATATATAATTTCTAATGTTACGTCAAAAGGCTACTTGTATATATGCCGTCATGAAATAATGACGTCACTGTCTAGTTTGCTGGTGACGACGGCGTAAAATTGCGTCATTTTTTAAAATCATATGTCACGCTTTTGTTTGTTAGGCTTTTTTATCATATTTATAAATTTATCATTATTGACAGATTTGTGCCTTGTAAAGAGCTACATTGACTAATAGACTTTCTGTAAAAGCACCTCAATGAATTTGACATTTAAATGAAATAAACATCATATACATAAATATACCAACAACTTTGCTGTTACAATCCCCCATTTTGTAACTTATTATCATATTACATTTCGTCATTTTAATAAATGACAATATCAGTCATATTGACTTATTTCTTATTTGATTTTGAGCAAAAACTGAGCTTCGTTGTGCTTGTGAACATTTGGCTACATAAAACTGATGTTCAGTTTGTGCAGTTTAAAACTTATACTTCTTACATTAACAGAGTCGACAAAAACGGGGGATTAACCAGAGTGCCCTTTGATATTGGGCGATACAGAATGATAAAACATAATCCGGATTCTGGTAATCCATTAAACCTGTTAAGGTAAGGTTATCGAGAAGAGCCGAGGTCTAGCAAGGCCGAGACCTAAAGATGGCGGGCCTACATCAAAGGAAGTCCGCGTAATCCTGAATGAATGTCAATGAATGTCATTGAGAGACCATAAAAGGATTATGCAGTCTTCCTTTCATGTAGGTCCGCCATATTTGGGTCTCGGCCTTGCTAGACCTCGGCTCTTCTCGATGTGAATGTTCTCTTAGACTGCGTTTGCATTGCATGAGAGAGAGAGTCGCACAAGAGTTGGAGTCATGTTTGTGGTCGGCAGGCGTGTAGAAAGTAAACATTAAGGGAAAGTTAACTATTCTGAAAAGATAAACTTGCATACATTTATTATTTATTTTATATCTTTATTTATTTATTTATACTATTTCGACTTATTTATCCTAATTTTGACTGATTGAACGTATCTGTAGGTATGGAGTAACAACAGTTTTCAAACAATGGTCCTTCCAACTTCCTACTGTTTAGACCAACGATTAAGCGGTCCATCTCACGATTTATTTTAGAAGCATATTCCTGTTCTGGGAAGTGCCCCAGGGCCCGCCTAATCAATCTATTTTGTCACAACAAGGGTTTTGTTATTCTTCAATGAATAAATCTAATATTTTTCTCAGACATTCACTACTCCATTATGCAAAGCTACGATGGGAAATGGACGGGCTAAGTAGTCTTGAAGGGACTTACACTGTGTTAAAGACCGACGAGTTTCTACTGTACACGAGAATATACGTGGATGTCGATCCGAATGCCGTTTACACTAACATAAAGGTATGCTGTTATATAAAGCTTTCCTGAAATTCTTAAATGTTCATACCATTTCCACTAGGAGAATCAAAGAACAGATGTGAGATAATGCTGTCTCATATCTATAGGTGAATCAGTATGAGAAAAACCTCTCTCTCTCTCTCTCTCTCTCTCTCTCTCTCTCTCTCTCTCTATATATATATATATATATATATATGGTTTTAAGTTACATTTTGTCTTAATTGAACTTATTGCAATCGTTGATGCACTTTATTTTTGGAAAATGTCGTTATTTTTAGCAAGAATATATATACCAAAGGGGTTATAAGCTGTATAAGAATACTAAGTAACAAACCTTGTTTTAAAATCAGCGCTATATCCCCAGACATTAATGTAGTTGAAACCCATGGAAACTTGGATTTACTCAAAATATTGAAAGATACACACTCTTTATGCACCAGATATGTATTACAGGGGTATTTAAGATATGGAAAGCACTTAACAACAAATGACATTTGATAACGGTCACTTTATCTCTCTGATCTCTAGGATTTCTCAAAATGTAGTTTTGGTATTTTTAGGATGCGAAAAAACAATCCGAGAATGTCCATTATACCCCCTGGTAACCCGACAATTTCGTTTCTTCTCCAATTTAGGCAAAGAGCAATCACATCTTTGGAAGTGACTTTCAACGACTTATTAAATGGACGGAGAAGAAGGTAATTTTTTTTTATGAATTTGTAATTTTAAGTCAAATCAAACAATTACCAGCATGGCAAACTTAATGGATCTCCATATTTTAAAGTTCGCTGATCCCTGTGGTACATTGTCTATACACCAAGGTATACTGGACTTGGGCCAGATAATGCCTCATTATTTAGCAGACAAAGTTTGGAACCAATTTGTAGGAAAGTTATGGAGCCAACGCCCTGGTTCTGGATCACACGGGGCTCCAATTGAAATTAGAGTAAATTATGTTTTATGAATACATATGGTCACCTGCAGGTTTAAAATGAGGTAATTTGATAAACTTGACAATGTTACTAACCAAGAGGTATATATACATGTTTATATAGTGGGTATCATAAAAATGAGAAACTTTGAGGTTATAAAATGAAATACTAATGTTTTATAAAATGTAGAAAACAGGAAAAATTATACAAAGATGAACTATTGTTTCAAGTTTTATACACATATAAAAAAATTATACTGTATGTATAAGAATAATCTTGGCCTTGAATATAAAACATTTAGGATTGGCGCATAAAAATTCATTAGGAGAATTCGCAAACATTATTGAAATACAAATAAATTTAGAATAAGTATAGGAGTCAGTGGTAGTATATTTGAATGTATACTTTAAAATGTAATTATACATTGCGTTTGTCTTTTGGATGTCAATAAGATCCAAATACTCTCAATGTGCGTGCAGTTGATACAGGAAGGACCTTCGTGTCATATTTCAGGAATGCGGATGTAAGAATGGCGGAATTTGTGTTCAATCAAATGACTTGCGTTCACAGAGAACATGTACCTGTCCCTACCCATACGGCGGGTTACACTGCGAACGGAACCGTAAGTTATGTTTAGAAACTCGTTAATAGTATTGAAAGTCGCCTTGAACTTACAAGGAACGGTTTTTACTATCTTTTATTTAAAAATCTAATATTTCAGCTAGTTTTTCCTAAATTTAACCAAAGCCCCTTTTCATCGCCACTGTGTTTGCTGAATAGAAAGAAAGAAAGAAACGTCAAGTTGGTATTTTACCGTGTGATCAATATTTGGAAATATGCTGCTAGATTAATTTTGGACATTATTTCGCTTTACTGCTACTTCCACTCGTTCATTAGCCCTATTGTCTACTGCCTCTGTGCCATTTGAGCAATGACGTCAATTCCGTGCAAACAAATTAAATTCACGCTGAGCAGTATAGAATTAAGTGTCCAGAGAATTAGCCGTATATATATATATATATATATATATCTATATATCCTCTACCAAGGTGGCAGAAATATCTGTGACATTGGTAGAGTGCAATTATACACAGCTATCTCTCCGTTATTTACAGTGCATGAAAAGTCTTTTGAAATAATTGGTTTTTGGGGAAATTTCTGGATGTACGAATATTCTATTACACAGCAAAGTTGGCAAATTTACACCCACAACCGTTTTTTTTTTAATATATTTTCTTTGACTCATTTTGGAAAAAGGCATCAGTGGAATTTTTATTCATTCATAATTTGTCATGGGGTTGATTTCATGTCAAGAATTTTAATTCTTAAAAGCTATATGCCTTTCATATACAGAAAACAACAAAGGTGGAGCATCGTGAAAAAACAGTTGGTTCTTACATGTTCCAATAAAAATGAATAAAAATGATCTGCTAATACAATGCATGCTTAACATGAACAAAAAACATTAGTTATTGCTCATTAGTTGATAGTCTTTGTATTAATTTTGCATATCATAAGTGACGTGTCCACCGCAGTTTGAGGTAATGTTCGGGACAAGTTGCTACAGTTTCAACACGACATTGGACGGCTCCTTCTACAAGGGAAAGGTGAGCTGTGAGTCAATTGGAGCAAGACTAGTCGCCGTGAACGACGAGAAGGAGCACCGATTTATAACACAATACCTTGCTGCTGATGTAGGTAAGATAAGTCTAGCACATTACATATATTATAGAAAAATCCCACTAGAACAAATAAAGTGCTCACATTGTAATGATATTGAAGACGAGTTCCACTTCGTCCTTGGGTGTTCTCGCTAAATTAGTATCAGGAATAAGTTTATTAAGCCTTATTTTTTTGTAGAAAACCTTCTGTCTTCAAACTTGTTCTCCTGCTGAATACTTCCAATAAAAAAGAATAATGTAATTTAGCACGATACATTAAACAGGTTGGAAGTATTCAGCAGGGGATCAGATCTCCTACAGCTGTATGTGTATGTGATTGTATGTATGAGACTGATGGAATATATTACTCCAAAGTAAATAATCTATACATTATTTTGGACGCGAACATGTATGACATAATCAGTCTCATTTTTGTAGTTAGCTCTTTGTACGTGGGGCCTACATGTAGCCATCTTATATATATACGCATATTGTCTCCAATAAATTGGTAAGTTGTCCCATGCCATGTGTTTCATCGAACTTCAGCTCGATCCGACCGTTGCTGGTGGACATCAGCCACAGATGAAGCCTCTGAAGGTAGATGGGTATTGTCCGGATGGGGGAACATCCCAGCACCGTTCACTGCTTGGTATCCAGGTACACAGAACACCTATTTTTTCCATTTCAGTATGAGAAATTATGTTTTCGTTTTCAATGTTTTGTCTTCAGTATTTTGTGAGACCGTCCTACATGCTTTCTCTGTAATCAAAGTGAGGGACTCTTAATAATATTAATAATATCAGAGATTATGGTTAATGTCTCGAACGCAATGCCACAAATTTAACTTTCAACTCACGAATGTACGCTTTGGCTATGGCTTTTTAGTTAGAAAACCCGTGCATTCTATATGTGCCCCTCGATATCGTTTCAAACCATTTCTCTAATTGCTAGTGCGATTTATGTTTATAGATTTTGCCTAAAAAAAATCCAAAATAATAAATAATGACGTCGACGACCCTCTAACCACACAAAATGTACCAACCGGACACATTCGTGCGTTGAATTATATGTTGGACAAATAAAACGTTTTATCCGTCTAAGAGTGCATTCCCATAGATTTAGATCGATCCATCTAGATCGATCTAACTCCCCGGGGGTTCACGCTAAAATTGCTGTCAGCCGAGCGCGCAAGGTAGNTGTTCACCTGCAGGTTTAAAATGAGGTAATTTGATAAACTTGACAATGTTTCTAACCAAGAGGTATATATACATGTTTATATAGTGGGTATCATAAAAATGAGAAACTTTAAGGTTATATAATGAAATTCTAATGTTTTATAAAATGTAGAAAACAGGAAAAATTATACAAAGATGAACTATTGTTTCAAGTTTTATACACATGTAAAAAAATTATACTGTATGTATTAGAATAATCTTGGCCTTGAATATAAAACATTTAGGATTGGCGCATAAAAATTCATTAGGAGAATTCGCAAACATTATTGAAATACAAATAAATTTAGAATAAATATAGGAGTGGTAGTATATTTGAATGTATACTTTAAAATGTAATTATACATTGCGTTTGTCTTTTGGATGTCAATAAGATCCAAATACTCTCAATGTGCGTGCAGTTGATACAGGAAGGACCTTCATGTCATATTTCAGGAATGCGGGTGTAAGAATGGCGGAATTTGTGTTCAATCAAATGACTTGAGTTCACAGAGGACATGTACCTGTCCCTACCCATACGGCGGGTTGCACTGCGAACGGAACCGTAAGTTATGTTTAGAAACTCGTTAATAGTATTGAAAGTCGCCTTGAACTTACAAGGAACGGTTTTTACTATCTTTTATTTAAACATCTAATATTTCAGCTAGTTTTTCCTTTTAACCAAAGCCCCTTTTCATCGCCACTGTGTTTGCTGAATAGAAAGAAAGAAAGAAACGTCAAGTTGGTATTTTACCGTGTGATCAATATTTGGAAATATGCTGCTAGATTAATTTTGGACATTATTTCGCTTTACTGCTACTTCCACTCGTTCATTAGCCCTATTGTCTACTGCCTCTGTGCCATTTGAGCAATGACGTCAATTCCGTGCAAACAAATTAAATTCACGCTGAGCAGTATAGAATTAAGTGTCCAGAGAATTAGCCGTATATATATATATATATATATATCCTCTACCAAGGTGGCAGAAATATCTGTGACATTGGTAGAGTGCAATTATTCACAGCTATCTCTCCGTTATTTATAGTGCATGAAAAGTCTTTTGAAAGAATTGGTTTTTGGGGAAATTTCTGGATGTACGAATATTCTATTACACAGCAAAGTTGGCAAATTTACACCCACAACCGTTTTTTTTTAGATATATTTTCTTTGACTCATTTTGGAAAAAGGCATCAGTGGAATTTTTATTCATTCATAATTTGTCATGGGGTTGATTTCATGTCAAGAATTTTAATTCTTAAAAGCTATATGCCTTTCATATTGCCTTTCACATTGGTTATTGCTCATTAGTTGATAGTCTTTGTATTAATTTTGCATATCATAAGTGACGTGTCCACCGCAGTTTGAGGTAATGTTCGGGACAAGTTGCTACAGTTTCAACACGGCACTGGACGGCTCCTTCTATGACGGCAAGAAGAACTGTGAGTCAATTGAAGCGAGACTAGTCGCCGTGAACGACGAGAAGGAGCACCGATTTATAACACAATACCTTGCTGCTGATGTAGGTAAGATAAGTCTAACACATTACATATATTATAGAAAAATCCCACTAGAACAAATAAAGTGCTCACATTGTAATGATATTGAAGACGAGTCCCACTTCCTTGGGTGTTCTCGCTATGTTAGTATCAGGAATAAGATTATTAAGCCTTATTTTTGTAGAAAACCTTCTGTCTTCAAACTTGTTCTCCTGCTGAATACTTCCAATAAAAAAGAATAATGTAATTTAGCACGATACATTAGACAGGCTGGAAGTATTCAGCAGGGGATCAGATCTGTTACAGCTGTATGTATATGTCAGAGGCCCCGACCAAATCTAGTCCTATGTATAAAAAGCCCAGACCCCATGTTGATTATACCCTGGCTGGGCCCATTCTTTAAGGTGTCTTTGCATTGTTAACACCATAATGGGCAAGTTAATTGACCAAGTTAACTGGACAAGCTGCCAGTCTGGGCTTTTTATGCATAGGACTAGGTTTGGTCCGGGCCTTTGACATATATGTGGTTGTATGTGTGAGACTGATGGAATATATTATTCCAAAGTAAATAAACTATACATTATTTGGGACGCGAACATGCATCACATACTTGATTTTTCAAAAATTATCAGTCTCATTTTTATAGTTAGCTTTTTGTACGTGGGACATACATGTAGCCATCTTGCAATATATATACACATATTGTCTCCAATAACTTGGTAAGTTGTCCCATGCTATGTGTTTCATTGGACTTCAGCTCGATCCGACCGTTGCTGGTGGACATCAGCCACAGATGAAGCCTCTGAAGGTAGATGGGTATTGTCCGGATGGGGGAACATCCCAGCACCATTCACTGCTTGGTATCCAGGTACACAGAACACCTTTTTTTCCATTTCAGTATGAGTAATTATGTTTTCGTTTTCAATGTTTTGTCTTCAGTATTTTGTGAGACCGTCCTACATGCTTTCTCTGTAATCAAAGTGAGGGACTCTTAATAATATTAATAATATCAGAGATTATGGTTAATGTCTCGAACGAAATGCCACAAATTTAACTTTCAACTCACGAATGTACGCTTTGGCTATGGCTTTTTAGTTAGAAACCCGTGCATTCTATATGTGCCCCTCGATATCGTTTCAAACCATTTCTCAAATTGCTAGTGCGATTTATGTTTATAGATTTTGTGTAAAAAGGTCCAAAATAATAAATAATGACGACCCTCTAACCACACAAAATGTGCCTACCAGACACAATCGTGCGTTGAATGATATGTTGGACGGATAAAACGTTTAATTCGTCCAAGACGCTTTTCGCCCACAATGACGTAATTTTGGTTCTTCTTTCTGTGGTAGGCGCGCCAGACAATGAGGGCGGCAATGAAGACTGTGCGAAGTACCTCAGAGACAGAGATTATTGGGATGATAGTCAATGTTCCAAGATCTGTAACTTTATATGTGAAACAGACGCGATTTAGATAACGGCCAATATTGAAAATACAAGGCAAGATATGGAGGGGTGGTATTAACAAAGTTTTTTTTTTTTTTTTNTAAAATCTGTGGGAATGGGGTCTAAGACGCTTTTCGCCGACAATGACGTAATTTTGGTTCTTCTTTCTGTGGTAGGCGCGCCAGACAATGAGGGCGGCAATGAAGACTGTGCGAAGTACCTCAGAGACAGAGATTATTGGGATGATAGTCAATGTTCCAAGATCTGTAACTTTATATGTGAAACAGACGCGATTTAGATAACGGCCAATATTGAAAATACAAGGCAAGATATGGAGGGGTGGTATTAACAAAGTTTATTTTGGGAGGGGGATTCTTTCACCGTCCATTGGAAGTAGAAATTACCAGACTTCTAGCTGTCTATGAACTTACAGTGCATTATACTAGTTAACCTATGACCCGTAAATGCAGCCAAAATTGCCAAATGGCCGGTTCCTTGGGCATTGAAAATTGAAACAGGACTCCTCAGCGCATTAAACTGTTCATGTATATACTTCTTCGATGGGGATCATCCCAAAGACCCGGTGCCATGTACCAGAAAGTCCCCCGTGACAGAGAGTCCGCTTCCCATTACTTTGTGCAGGTGAGCCTCGCCCTAGATTTTGACCCACTTAGGTCAGACTAACCCTAACCATTATAACTGTATGGAGGGCGGACTTTCTGTAACACGGACCCTCAGTTTCGTGCCCAAAGTCTACGCGTAAAATCGAGCGATATTTTGCGAGATATGAAGGAGGGTCGGCATATTTGGGACGAAGAAAGGCAATTAAGATATGTAGTTACTCGGTTCTCATTTTATTTTAAGTGTTCACTGTACTGTGTGTAATTGAGACAAAATGCCACAATTTGCAATCTACACAACGAATCTCCGTCTTGGGAGTTTAATTCCAAAGTTGCAGTTGATTTACACGTTACACCCCGCGCTAGGTCTACTTCAGCTATAGGCCCTAATTAATCAAAGTACGTTAATTTTAATTGCATTATGATGGCACACATTGTGATATAGATTTTCAGGATTTAAATCTATTAAAATCTTTCATATGATATCTGTAGGAGATTTATATGTGTGGACTGCATCAGTAAAATCATTTACTGCCTAGTTATAAGAGTCATTCATACACATATAGCGTCTGTTTATACTTTAGAAATATGTTGTGAGCCGTCGACTGTCTACTGGATCCTGTTCAGGATTCTCCCGCGTAGATCGTGTAGATTTTTCTCGTCTAACTGTTTATATATATATTGTATTGTCTCTTAAATATGAAAGAAATCGGAACATTTATTATAGGCTACCGGTATTTACAATTATTAACACTGAGCTGAAACTGCAGAAAGGGTGTTTAATTAGCATTGCTAATAGGCCTACCTGTACGCACATGTAGGCCCTACGCGTTTATAAAACATATATATAGTAGAATATGTATTTTACAGTTCAATTTGATTTAATTTGTTGTACTTTTATTTCAAAAGATGGTGTGCCTAGCGATCTTCGATTTTGATGCCAATCAAACCTTGTTAGTAGGTACACTTATAATGCACTTAATTGTTATGTGGACCTACATGTACATGCATATTTATATTAAAAAATTAGAATGTTCAATAGTAGGGCCTACTGGTACACTTGTATTAGACCTGTATGTGAATCAATATTAATCTTTTGCGTTAACATGCATATAGGGGCCTACATGTATGTAAAAGTGAAAGAGTGAAAGAGTGGACCGAAATAAACATCAGAGGTGGAATTTTGGTTTACGGTTTGACCATGCACGGAATTTACATACGAGCGACGGGGTGATGTAGCCTGCAGTATTTGCGGTAAGCGTGCCAAGTTTTAGGCCGCTCCGATGCCCGGCAGTATTTTATTTTGATTATTATGTTGAAAATGGTTGAGTTTTGTTTCACAAGCTCTTTCTATTTTATTGTCTCTATGGAGGTATATGGGGACTTTACGACATTCGGTTTGAAGGCTTTAACCACTTGTTATAGTTTATTTTTGCATTGTATTGGATTATTGTGGCAGTCTAAGGTTGTCCTAGGTGGTTTTCAAGTTTATGAACCCGGTTTTAATATCATTTAGCGATTTTACAACAATCGTTTACTATCCAATCAAGGTGACAGCCGAGCGTGTGCGTAATTATAATATTATCAACACACAATAAAAACTTTTATTCGAGTATATCTACTAGTACTTGGGCAGATATGGCTATTTTTATGTGAGAAGTTTTGTTGTTTTTAGGTACGAGTTGCAAAAGAGAAATACCATTTGTGTCCAAAATTTAACGTGAATTACATTCCTTCCTCCAATAAGTGAAGAGCAGTTCACATGAAACGAGATCACAAAGCTACACTTTTGTCACAGAAAGCCAAAGTGTGTATAAACAGTACACCTTTAAAATGGCCTCTGGCGAAGGCAGCAACACCGTTGACATACTCCACACCGTGTTAGCTCAAATAGATAAAGTTCTGGTTGAATTCTTAAGACTAACAAAGTCACCGAACGCGAAGAAAAGAGAAGTGCCTCTCGCACAGAGAAGACATCTCTCAGCTGGTACTAGCAGTGGTGGAAACAAGGAAGAATTTTCCGTAGCCTTGCCTGCGCTGTTTCGCGAGCTCAAGGAAGGAGATACTGCTCGAATGGAAAACATGGTGGGTAAATGCCATGGATACATGGTGTTTTTGCTTACTAGTAAGTTATTTGGAGGCTTGAAGTTCAAGTTTTGTGACATTGAATTTGTATGGAATAGATTCGAATGAGGGAGCGTTCCCATAACCCTATCATATAAGCTGGATTGATCTTTAATCCACGGGGATTCTCGCCAAATTGCATTCAGTTTAAGAGCGCATTCCCAGAGATTTAGATCGATCCAACTAGATCGACCTAACTCCCTGGGGGTTCACGCTAAATTGCTGTCAGCTGACTGTGCACAGAAGTTAATAACCCCCTTACAGCTTTTAGTAGGCGGGACAGACATTTAAGCCAGCTAAGCTGACAGTAATCTAGTGAGACTCCCCACGGATCTTAAATCTGTGGGAATGGGGTCCTAGTAGTTAAATGTCTGGCTTTAATGTCTGACACTCCCCCTCATAACTTGGAGGGGTCAGGAGTTCACAGTATAATGTAGGTATAGAGAGTACGACGATAATTTAATCATGAAACTGGTTATTGTTGGTCATTTTTTGAGAATTTCTCTGCTTAAGATTTATCTTTAGATAATAAATATTTAAAAATAAACTTTCAGTAAGAGGTATAATAAAAATGATAAATAATTAATATTATATTTGTAATGTAACCAATAAAGCAAATGATACAAAATGGTTTTCATTTTGTACCAGGCAGAAGATCTTGCCTCCAGCTTGCTTCAAGAGGGCAGCCAGTGGTCAGTACCTTTAATGTCCAGTAGAGTGGACAATCACTCTCTTCTCATGAGACTATCCAGGCCAGAGACATTTAAAGCTGTTCTTGGGTCCGTAATGGCCAGTGGAGATCATTTTGGTAGAAAAGATGGTGTTTTTAATGGCAGGAAAGTTCTCGTGCATGATGTTGGTGCTACTGCTGTGGAACGTAAAGGCAAAGAGACAAGTTTGTTACAGCTGAGATCTGTAGTTCTCATGCAGCATGTAAAACACTTACTGGAGGCTGTTGGGTAAGGATATGGATAAATCTTCTACATTGATTCTTATTATTTGCAAAAGTTTTTATTTATTTAGTACACTTTGGAATTATATGTCAAATTTTCTGACAGCATCTAAACTGAAACCAACTGGACAGTGCTGTTACCAGTTAAGGTCTACTGAATGTAGCGTAAGTTTGAAGAATTATTATTCAGTGTGAACAGCTTCAAACTTATAACTTTTGCAAATAATATGTAACCTCATAATTCGATGTGGATAAGTTTGGAAAATGTGGTATTCAGTCTCTTCAATGGGGGAAAATTCTTACAAATTCTTGAAATAAGAACATTCTTATTGAGTGGTAGCAAAGTTGTCGCAAACAGCAGGCCACCTTGTATTTCCGTTCTATACAGTAAAAGCAAATGCTACACAAAAATGTATTTTAGTGATTTCAAAATTATATATCTAAAAGATTGATAATTTTTTTTCCCATTAAGAAGTTTGAGTTACTATGGTACCACTACATGGTTCTCTTTATATTTTTAAAAGGCATTAGACCTTTATACAGAAAAAAATAAATAATTTTTTTTAATGGGGAAAAGTCAACAGTTTCCATTATAGCACCAAGGCATACACACTCCAAAAGTGTTGAGAAAATTGCTATTCATAAACTGGTTACCAATTTTTGAATTTCCCCTTTTTGCCATTTTAAGTTTGAAAGATATATTTTTTTTTTTCAGATATTCTGTGAACATTGTTGGCAGAGGAAAATCCCAGAATGATATTATTTTCACAGACAAACAAGTTTCAATAGAAAATACAGTTACTGTTGGTGCACATGATTTTCTTCCACTTAAGACAGAAAATCATGACTGTAGAGGAGGCAGTGACTCCTTGTTTAAAGATAATGGTGATACTGGGGACACCCAGCTGATGAAAATAAAGGCAATTATAGACAAAATAAGGGAATGTAAATACTGCAGAGAAGTAGAAATTCCGAAACGTGAATTTCAAGGAGATGAAATAGCAGGAATTGAATTGAAACTAAAAAACGATAAGGAGGAACAACTGTGTGTGGATTTAAAGCAATATTTACGTGACTCTGGTTTTTCACAAGGCAAAGAAGGTTATGATAAAAGTCTGGACAAGTTGTACAGTGAGTAGTTGATTTTCTTCTTTTGTTATTTTAAAACATTTGTTGCATATTTAGGTAAATGAAAATTTGTATACCTTTTTCACTTCTCAATTTTAGCCTTTTAAAGAAGGTTCACTTCTCATCTAAACCTTGTGCATACCCTCTTTTAAATGCAAACTGCATCTTCAACTAGAAAAAAGAGTCCAAATATGTTCATCTCTAGAACTAGAAATCAAGCAAAATGAGTTCCATGTATAACCATGTGGTTATTTTAAGTTTGCACA